ATAATATTTGTACTTCAAATTTGTAAAAAATTATGAATTTTATATGAAATTTTGTGTAAAATTAATTAAAAATATACTAGTTAATGAGTTTTAATTTGTGTCCTTAAGGAACAAATTAGACAAACCCATATATGTAAAGAAATGATCTACTTACACATAAATTTCACACCACACTTATGTAAAATTTCAACCATTTATTTTTTCACTTTTAATGGTTAACAATTATTCTCATTTATTAACAATAATTATCTTTTTTACCTGAAAAACTATGATAAATCTCAATCATTGAAAATAAAAAAATAAATGATTAAAATTTTATATTCATATAGTATGTAAAACTTATGTATAAATAGATCTTTCCTCATGTATATATATATTGAAAAAGTGTAATGCAATTTAGATTATAAAGAACTACACTACACTACACTAACTATTGAATAGGGGTGTGCTCCCTCATATTGAGGCTCTCACCATCCAATAGTCCCTATTTTATAGTCTGGTGCAATTTAAATTATAAAACAAGGTTCTTATATTTTTATATATATATCATATTCATATTTTACAGTCAAACTATACATTAAAAGTATAGCCTATCTTATAAATTTATTAAAATACCTTTAATGAAATAATACAAAAAATAGTCTTATTAAAGGTATTGTAGTAAATTTACAAAATAAATTATACTTTTTAATGTATAATTCACATTATAAAATATTTTTTGTATATATATGTTAAGATCTATTTATATAAAACTCTTATATAAATTATATATATAATCTTTAAAATTTAACTATTCATAGTCTAAAAATAAATAGTAAAAATTTTATATAAATAATGAATAGTCAAGACAAGTGACATACATATAAAAATTTTGTGGAAGTAGGTTGTAACACTCTATATATAATTTCATCTCGTGGGTTTCAACATTCGAGGGAAATTGCTATGAATATGGAAGAAACCAGCATCATATATGCCACATTGCTGATATTTTGATTCCTGTAAAAACTCAATTAAGCATGTGGGTGAAGATCAAAAGGAAAACACAGAAGTGAAAATAAGTTCTCACCTCAAGAATGGCCAATTTTGATTGCTAACGCCTACACATGATGATGTATGAATCAAAAAAAAAAAAAAAAAAAAGAAAGAAAGAAAGAAAGAAAACAAAAAGGAAGAAGATTAGAAAATGAAGCTGATGAAAATTCTTGTCCTTTAAGTTTGGCAGACTATGAAGTTTTGAGCATTTTGAGAATCATTGTGCCAAGCCCAAACCAACTTCACGACCCAGATTTTAACAAGAAAGGAACTTGGGTCTAAAATCTGTTACAAAATAAAATAGAACCTTGAAATCTGGGATGGTTTTATTTATTTGGATCTGGAGTTAGAGCTTGACGTCTGGATTAATAATTTTAAGGCCCATTAAATTGCTTTCACCTCTTTGGGTCGGTGCCCGTGTCTGAATTTACTATCATTTAACAACTTGTTGCAGTTGGGTATCAACTTGGTAAGATATGACTGCAACACCATCCCTAATGTTCTTTTTTTTTTTTCTTTTTATATTGATTGTATAATGAGAAGCAACCATTTTTCATCTATTATCTCATCTTTTATCTCACTCCATCCGCATACCATGCGACTCGAATTCAAGACTTTTTACTTCTAATGGAAGTAGATGACCATTAAAATATTTAACTCATAAGCTAACCGTTTGAAACTATGATTTCAATATGAAATGTTATTTGATAATAAATATATATATATATGTTTATCAGCTGCACCTGAAAAAATTTAAGTAAAAAAATACCCCATAATATATATATTGGAAAGGACATTTTTTGTTTGGTGGGAGAGAAGAAGGAGATGGATTACTTCATGTTCTTATATATATTATGTATTAAAATGGATTAGTATTTATTTATACATCATTTTTATAAACATTATTATTTATATAAAATTATAAGTATTCACCCTTTTATTGTAAATAATTGAAATTTATTTATTTTTTATTTTATTTTTCAAAAAATAATTGTCTTTATTATTTAAAATATCATAAAAAATCTGATATGTTTATAATAAAAAATAAATTAACAAAATTTTATAAAAATAATACGTAAAAATTATGTATAAATCCTAATTCTTTAATGTCGAGTTCCCACAAAATTTTCTCTTGTCTTCCAGACCAAGCAATATTTTTATGCTCCGCAAAACGTTCCACCTGGGAGCCCAGTGCTCCCTCTACCCATCATTTTCCTTAGCCATGTCCGCAGTTGACACAAATCCGCATGGTGTAGGCAAAACATCACTCGTAAATCACCTGTCAATGTGCAAAGCAGGAGGAGTCTCGTGGTCCTAAGATGCTGCCATCTCTCCATCATCACACCTTCTTATCCCTATCCTTTTCCCAAACTGTCTTCGGTTTCCAAGCCCTACCGATCAGCTAGCCACTCATCTCAAGGTTTACCAAGGGCTATTTGGAATTTACAATTGGGTTTTTCTAAGGCCGTGAGTTAAAGGAGGGTTTATAATTTATTACTAATTTTACAATTAATTATCTTAGAAAATATAAAAATAAACTTTATATTTAGAGTCAATGCTTTGTGGATGATTTTATAAAATAATTTCGAACCATTAAGTAATGTATATGGTTTATATTATATTTAAGATCTCTTATTTTTAACGAAAAAAATTATTACTGAGTTATTTAAATTAGTAACCATATGATTTATATTATCAATTAATAACTATAATTATAAGTTGTCTTAATAGCTAACCAAACATAGATAGCCTAATATTAAGGAAAAGAACCTGGTTATAGGAGAGCGTTTACTAATGATTAAGAGTTTAAAGTATGTTTGGTTTGAGGGGAAAAAATGATAATTTTATTATTTAGTTTTTGAAAAAATAACGTGGAAGGGAGGAAAATCCTTTATTTTTTTTAAATTTAATTAATTATTTTAATTTATTCAAATAAAGAAAAGGTGGGGAGAGAGGATGGAAGATACCCCTTTGCTCTTGTTAAATCAAACATGTCCTTAAAACTTCTTTATTTAAAGTATGGCTAAAAGACTTTAGAAAGGAGGAGGATAATCGTATGTTATGTTAAATAAGCAGATTAGATTATTATAGATAGGAAAATGTTAGGCGTGTAATATTTTAAGTAAATCCATACGTATAAAATCTTTATGTAGGGAACGAAGTGGTAGTAGTTTATATTTTCTCTCTTCAAACTAAAGTAACCATCATTAATTTTTTTAATTAAAAATTTAAAGATAATTTATATATTTATTTATATTATCTATATAAAAAAAGGGATAAAAGATAAATATAAATTTTTTAATAAGAAAATAAATAAATTTCTCTGTCCCAAAATAATATTATAGATGTTCTTTTATTTTATAATAACAATAAAATTAATCTTAATAAGTGACTTAATAGTTAAAAACTTAAGAATCCAAGTTAAACATCTCAAATTATAATGTTAAATAGAATGAGGAGGAATTTAGGAAGAGAAAACTATTTTACAAAGCGAATTGTATGCGGTTCGCACTATAAAATTACTTAAATGCCCTTAAATTTGTTTTTATATTATTTTTTCAAGGATATTTAAGTAATTTTACAAGATGGACTACATGCAGTCTATCATGTAAAACAATTTTCTGATGTAGAAATAAATAGAACTATACTTTCTTGTATAACTCATAATTAGATGTA